CAGCCATTCTACTTAACGAAGATCCAAACATGTATGAAAAGGACTAAAAAGGAAGGGCCAAAATGTTCCTTATTGAAAGATGATACCAAAACAAACAAAAAAAAATCCATGATATTCAAGACAATCTACTCGAAGGAGAAAAAGCTACTCTTAAGAGTTGAGTAAAGCAACTAACTAGATATTTTATTTGAATTAGCGGCAGCTCCTCTGTTGTACCACAATAATCAACTAGAGAATATCTTGAAAAGAGAGTTCATTCATAATAACCATATAAATTGTAAGATATGTCCAGCATAATAAGCTCAACAGGAGGTATGGAAGATCCATATAAAGAAAATCATTAAACTTTGTTGAAAATATAAAATTGACCTTATTAGGAAGACACATTATGAAAGGAAAGTCTCCCCAAATAATTTAGGAATATGATGGTAGCCTAATATGATTTGAAAATTAAACCTGACAAGCTGATTCATTTGCAAGAGAAATTATGTGGATTTGCAAGAGAAATTATGTGCTAATATAAATTCATTTGCAAGAGAAAATATGTGCTAATAACATATTTTGAAAAAGATTACCATAGGGAGGCTCTTGGTTTACCAGATGGTAAACTATAAAGTTACTAAATGGAATCTTCAAACGGGTAAACAGATCAGCAAGACAAGAGTATGGGAATGCACAAAGCTTTTTATCTCTAGTTAACAGCTAGAAAAAAATTTCACAGATAAAATAGATTATCCTAGTCCCTCTATCTAGGGACTAGGAATACTAAACAATTATAAAAAAGAATGAAGATCCAAATACACATACATAATATGTATGTGATATATCTGAGATATTGTTGAATTAAAAAGAAATTTAGCTGCCAGGTTAGACAAATAGTGTGATAACAGTTACATTAGTGTGCACAAAACAATACCTCTGCCTATCAAGAAGAGATTTGTAAGGACAAATATTAAACTCACAGAAGAGATTAACTTGGTGGTAGGGATGGGACATTGGGGGAAGGGTAAACCCTGACTTTTTCTTTTATGTAACTCTGAATTCTGTTGTTGAGGGTTTTTTCCCCCCTAAATGATGAAAATGCCCAAAGTATGCTTTACAGCATAGCTATTGGAGAAAGGTTTTAGGATGGTTGAATAGTAATCTGGCTGGATCTGGTAACTTCTTCCCAGTGGAGGAACACAGGAAGACTAAGGATACAAAGATTGTAGCAGCTTGGAAGAAATGACTCTTGAGCAGCCTTGCTGTTATCTCTCTCATTGGATCTGCTATTTTACCCCCATCATGCATTTAGTGGCTGAAGTTACTGCCACAAATATCTTTCCAACCACAAGGTATAGGAGTACAAAAAATAATATAAATTACTAAGCAATGTGCACACAAATCCTGTGAAATCTGTTTTTTTTTTAAGTCTTGTGAAAAGATTACCCAAGTGATGAAGTTATGATCAAGTTCACAGTATCATTATGAATTATTGACTGTGGGTTTTAATGTGCAAATGGTGGTGTCTTCCTCCTAGAAGCTACAATGCCCTCCAGACATCTCCCTGGAATTCTTTGGCTTCCTCCTCTTCGAGTAAGAAATGGGAGGTGGTGGTTGGCAGAAACACTGGCCTGTTCTTTGCAGAAGCAGATATACTGTCAGTTCCTGAAATGCAATTTCTGCAAGGAAAAGTGCTTTTTCATTTTTTTAATGCCATCAAATGAAGTGCAATTAAATAATTTGTTATTCAAGCCTTTGTGTAGAGGAATTAAGGTGGCGGTTTTTAATCCCTTAGGGAAGGGTGGGGAGGGGACCATTCAAACCAGGGAACTGCCCACACGCAGCTAAGCAACTGCAGCAGCATCTTGTAATTAGCAAACCTCACAGTGTGACCACTTCAAGGATCACTTTCTGAAAAAACTAGAAATATTTCATCCTGTGGATGGAAAACAGATGTTGCATTTACACCTGTTGTAGGATACCCTCCTAGGAGCAGCAAAATCACTTTTGAATATGTTTTCTGCTTTGGACCTGCAGAGAAATGACATATACTCCATGAATGTGAGCTTCAGGCAGGTTACCCAGTGAGGAGAAAATGCACAGTGAAGTTCTGGCATTTGTCCAGAGCATCAAAGCTTGTGAAGTGACCTGAGTTTTGCTCTGTAAACCATGAAAATTGCTGAGATGGGACCAAAAGGTGCAAGAGGTCTTTGAATGCAAAGAGGAAACAGCCAGAAACAGTAACTCCCTTAGCCCCATTTCTGTGCATTCAGTAGAAATTCAGGCAGAAAAATCCAGTGGGTCTCACTCAAAACTGGTTCCTGCTTTTTACTGAAATTGATGCTTCAAATCTCCTGTGATGCCAGCTGGCCTGGCGCATGTGCCCCCAGGGCCTGAAGAAGGTTATAAAGAAATGCTCTTAAGATTTCTGGATATCAACAAACTCTGGGGAAAAAACCCCCGACAACCATGCTCCACATGTTGATGAGTTGACTGTAAACAAGTGAGAAACAGAAGGATTCAGATGGGGTTTATTTAAGCATGAAGGGGAAAAACATCCAGTTGTCAAAATAGACTCGAGGTTTGCTGAAACCAAAAAGTCTGGAGAGCAGTGCGAGATGTTGTTGCCAAACCCTAAATACTGCAGGGGTAAGCCTTCCCTCTCACCAATTAGATAACTGCCATTTCGTTCTGTGGATTTCTCAATTGTTTCTTCTTTTTTAAAAACAAACAAAATAATTAGCCTTGTTTCAGGGTAATTTTGCTAATATTTCCACAATTAAATAATTACTTCAACCCTGAATTAAAAACTGTCCTGCTGTCACTGGGTACAGTAGGCTGCCAGCTGTTTTAAATAACCCTTGAGAGCAGTCAGGTTAAGGGCTCAATTTATGACCTTATAAATTAACACAAGGAAGCCTATTCCATAATGCAACAGACAATTCTATTTATAATGCTTAATTAATCCCCTCCAGTCACTAACAGAACCCACTTGTGACCTTTCGTTTCACCCTCACCCAAAAGCAAGTCTCCTGAGATAGGAAGTGTTAATATGTGAATGCTGATAGAATTTGCTGACATTATGGTCAAGTATTAAATGGCTGACAGTCTGGATAAATGAGCTCCTGATAGCTTACTAATCAAATGTAAGAAGAAAATGTCAAGTTGGGCAGCACTGATGAAGCCCTTCATCAAAATCCCTGAGCTGGAGAGAGGTAGAAAGAGCAGCAAATGCCCACATCTGCCATTGCCTGCAAACACTTGCTCTGGATTTCAGAAAGTCGTGGCAGCTGAGGCAACTAAGAGAAAGTGTCAGAATTGTATGAAAAGATGACTGTGTGAGGCTATTCTGGGTGGCTCCATTATCTGTTGTTGCTAATATCCTAAGGCTGTCTTCTCTTAGATTGAGACAGAAAACCCAAAGTAATAACCTGTTCAATGCTGTCTTACCTAAGGTATTAGAGTAGAGTTATACAGAAAATTCCAAGCATGTCAAAAAGCTACAGGGTGTGGGCAGAGTACTGGTTGCAGAGTAAGGAAGTTCTGTTGGAAATAGGGCCTGGGAAGGGGAAAGGAACAACAGACACCATTTGGACATCAGTGTGGCCCGAGGCAGCAGTAGTGATCTGAACGCAGAAATACTGCCTGGCATGTTGGAATATGTGTGGAGAACTTTCTCAGGCTTTAGTACTATTTTGAGTGTTTCCATATAGCTTCATGAATTAGAAATTAGATGTCTTTCTTTTTTGTCCACCATGTTCAGGAATGATACTTCTGGCTCTCCTGTGAGTCTCTTGGCAAGTGCCTTAACCCATTGCCTTCATTCTATCCACAGAGTGGGTGTCATTACAGTACCTATCTCATAGGGTTGTTGTGAGGATTAAATAGAATTAATGAATAGAAAAACTTTAGACAGTGCCTGGCACCTAGTAGGATCTTTCTAAACCTTGGCCATTCTCATCAGTTCATCTCTGCACTTTCTCCTCTGAGCTCTCTCTCCTTCCCCAAAACTGTTAGAGCAGCCAAGCCAGGCTACCAGTCCTCTCTTCTGAATAGCTTCCTAATTCATTTCCTTAGTCTAAATCCACATCTCTTCTGATATGTCACACACAGTATTGCCACCTGAATCTTTCCAAAGTCCACCTCTGATCTCGCCCCTATCAGAGTTCTTCAAATATAGTCTAACCCCCTTAACCTTGACTTCAAGCCTCATTTCATTCCTACCATCCTGAGCCTCTGTTCACTTCCTAATCTTCCATTTCTCAGCACTTTCTCCTGAGCTCTCCCTCCCCTGGAGTCACACTACTTTCTCTTCCTCTACATGCTACCTTATTCTCCTATGCTTGTTCTAGTATGTTCTTGCACTTATACCTGTGCTTACTGTTTTCTCCAGTAGGAATTTACTTCCCTGGCATGTTCAATATCTTCTGGCTCAAATCCTAGTAATCTTGAAAGTCAGGCCCAGATGCTACCTCCTCCCTGGTGTCTTTCAAGTCTTATCATTTTATGATACCATTTTCTTTCTTGAACACCATTGTACTTTATCTTTCCTAAACAAACAAACAAAAAACCCTAACAAAACTTCAACCCTAGTTACTGCCATTACAATTATCAGTTGTATCAAAAATCAATTTAAATGCCTCCCTTTCAGAAGGTTTCCTATCCCAGCCTCTAGGGATCATGGATGAAGACTGCCTCTACAGTGTGTCTAGCTCAGTCTTGTCCCAAATTTATGTGATACCCAGAGCAGGCCTTCTCCAAATAGCACTGGAATAGAAAGAGTAATTGAGGGGCACAGAATGACAGCCCGGTCTTGTGGTTCATCCTTTCTGTGATTAATTCTCATTCACGTTATTGCTCCTTTCATGAGTGCCTATGGAAATATTTCAACTCCAAAAGTAAATGGGATGAAAAAATCCTATCAGGAAAAACAAACATGCAAAATGCACACTTGATCCCCAAACAACAGATTTCTTTTTTAAGAAGGAACAATGAAAAAAATATCTGGAGTCCAGTACCTTTATATCTAGTTACTACAGCTGCGTTGACACTAAGAGGCTCTTGAAAGCTGACAGTGAGTGATGTGCTGCTGGTTACCATGAGACAGGCGTTGGTTGGCACCTCGGGGGCTCCTGGGACAGAAGGAAACACACAAGGATCTTAACATAGCAAGTCCTTTTCAAACAATGTTCCCGCCTCTTCAAAGGATACCCTGAAACACACACTATGGAGATATTTGTTTGTAAAGCCTAATAGCTTGTGCTTTTGAACATTTTCATTAGAATTCTCAATGGTCTTTATTTGTTGCCATCATGGTTTTATTTGAGCATTAGAACATCTTCTGAAGGGGTAAATAATACCAGTTAAGCTTCCCAAAGTATCCTGGAAACACAATAGGAGATCGGGCTGGACCAGTGAAGAGGTGGCCAGAAACTGTCAGCAGGAAGCGATGCTATAGACAGGCACAGTTCCATTTTGAAAAGTTCTTTCATGTAAGTCATTTCTTTGGATCCTCTTTACATTCCTGCTGAGCTGAAAGGGCAAGTGACATCCCCACTTTTAGGATGAGAAAATTGCAGTCTAAAGAGACCAAATCACTTGTTCAAGGATACAGCGAAGGCATAGCTAGGATGAAAGCCCATGGCTTTGGGATTTCTGAGTCTGGGCTTTTTTCCAGCATGGACTGCTAACTTGCTTTGCTCTGTTACATCAAGTAGGGTTTTTCTAAGAAAGAATTCATGGACAAATGTCATGTCCTTGAACCTTGGGTTTTAAATGACTCCCAATGACTTTAGGCTTTCCTTAGCACTCAGCAGGTGTTTTGTAATTTAGAAATTAACCCCAAAATGGCATCAAGTCAAAAAATACAACTGCCAGTATGAATCTGTCCCAAATGAGGCACAATAACAGATGGATTTATGAAAACTATTGCTGAGTGTTTTTTAAAAGAAACATGTATGAACATTGCTAGAGAGGTTGTTAGTACTGAAAACAAAATCTCATTTATGTTAATTTTTTGGCTTTAAGAGAAAGGGTTAGGCCTAGATTTGATACCAAGTATATAGTACTACTTTATTTATTTTTTAATATATAGTACTACTTTAATTTTAGAAATTAAGTTTTATTGTAAGTACAAAGGGCAGGTTTGTTAAGGAAAAAGGGATATTTGCAGTTATTAGAGGGCAAGAGGCTGCCTTTTGAAAGGGGCACGATTATTAAGAGAGAGACACTGTATAGACACAGGTGGCTAGTCTTGGGGTAAGGTCTGTGACACAGTACTACTTTAGAAAAGAGATTTTTACTGCCTTTGGTCTTTGTCTATATCACAGCAATGTTCCTGGAGCAGGTGCAGATAATCTTCAAACTAATGAACTGACCGTTCCCTTATATGTAAAATTTCAAGTCTAACAATTTTTTTTTGGGGGGGTGGCATTCAAAGAAGGACTCCCTTTGCAGTAAGAGTTCAATACTCCACACATGTTTGATATAAGTATGTAAAATTTGTATCAGGAGCTGTACTAATCAGTACCTTCCTTTACTCCTGAGTATTATCCAGAACAAGGTTTTTCTTAAAAGAATTGGTAGCGGATAGTCATGCAGACAAAGCAGAATTCATAGGTTGATTGACTGTCCTCTTTCTGCTTGCATTAACTGAAAGTCTGTTTATATAAGCTCTATATAAAAAATGCAGTAGAGTTGAAAACAACTTAAACTTTAGCTTGCAGCAAAAACTGGACAAATAGGCAAACAAATATTTTTCCACCTCCACATCCCAAAATATAGCCACTTAGGGCATCAGCCCATCCAGGTCATTAGGCGTTAGGGCGTAGCGGGTGGAAAGCACTAGATGAGTGTGACGTGGTGGAGGGAGGCCAGAGGCACTGAAGCCTCATGGCTGTAGTCAGAGAACCTATCAGGAGCCAGAAAATCAAGCAAGACAAAAGATCCTTTTACAGCCTCTCAGAGCCCTTGCTCCAAACAGGCTGACAACGGCCATCCGTGACCCTGTAGAGCTGCAAAAAATCAGTAAAAGAAGGCCTGGCTGTCTCAAACCAAGGTTTGGCCTAGTTAAGCATCGAAGTCATCTGCTTATACTCACTGGCATGTTCGAAGCCCGTTTTCATGCGTCTGTACAGCCGATACCTCCACTCCCAAGCTTTCAGCTGTTTCTCTTTCTCTGTGTTGTCCAGACTGAATCCTTCATTCTCCACCTGAGCAGACAGCTCACTCACCCTCTCCTGGGCCTCCTGCACCAGCGTGTTGAGGTGCATCGCTCGACTTTCCAGGCTGACGACTGAAGGGAAAGACAGGGGATGACTCCGTTTTCTTTCTGGGGAAATGCTGCTTCTTGGGAAGGATATCTGGGAATATTCTATGGGTTTTGCAAAATGCTTGGGGCAAGCAGGATCTCTGCTATTAGCTATCTACTTATGATAAGGTCTAATTAGTGACATTTGTTTTACAACTAGATTAAATGACAAATCCATTTAATGAATTTTAAGGACAAATCCATCTTACATAGGTAAGATGTTCCCATTGCTTTCTGATCCCCCCAAATAGCTAGTCACATGTACCCCCAAATAGCTGTTTAGCAATTATTTAGAATTACACTATGGAGTTACCATGAGGACCACTTCTAATATAGATTGTATGCATTTGTTTCTATAATCATCAGCGCTTAGGGGCAAAAGCTCTGGAGGGCTAGGAAGATCCTAGGAAAAATCATTGTGAGGCAAGCTGCAGTCTGCTCAGTGGTTTGGTCAATTTTTTCTCTTTTTGGTAGAACCAGATTCAGATTTTCTGCTCTTACCACATTCTGCCCAGCTTCTAGACATTTTTATATGTTTGTCTTACTGGCATAATTCTGTCATTATTAAGCAATCTGTTGTCCAAGGGCCCCACTGTGGCTGCCACAGTAGAGCTAGTGAGTTCTGATGGCTGGATGACTTGGGTGTGATAAGACATTGATCATCAATTATTTTGATCTTTGATTGTGGTCTGATTGGAGAAATGGCCTCTGGCGATGCCCATGCTGAAGAGAACAAGTTCTCCTAGCTCTTGCTGAGAGGTAAAGCTTGTTTTATCAATGCATGAAGTCTTTATTTGATTCACATCGTATTGTTTACCTAATCAGCCCTCATGTGAGTGAATGTTCCTGTCAGTGATAGAAGGTTTCACATTCTTGTGTCAGACTGGGAGTCTGCTTCTTGGGGTTGACGTATGGCTCTTAGGCATGGGAGGATCTGCTTAAGCGGTCACTTGGTTACTTGGGAGTTCTTCTTGGTTAGTGATAAAGAGAAGAAGGCTTCAATAGCCTCAGACAGCCTCATGCAGTCGGGGGCCATCCACTTAATGAATCAGATTAGAATCAAGTTGTGCAGATTTGTCACTGACATGTGTTTGACACCCTCTCCCACCAAAACAATATTTCCCCCTGGTGGGTAGGCAAGAAATCCAACCATTTCATCTTTCTAATTAGGGGGGAAAATATTATGAAGATAACTCAAGTGAAAATTTGTTAGGCATATTTTGAAATGGAAATTAGGTGGTTATATATTCATATTCTCTGTGTTCATAGGCATGTTTGCATTAATTACAGGAAATGAATACTAATTTATTATTGCTCCTGCTCACCATCAGTCTAAATTTATTTACAGATGAGGTCAATGAAAAATTAGTTGAGTCTTTTTTTCTTTTTCTTTCTTTCCTTCTTCTTTCTTTTTAAAGTTGCTGTTTAGAACACTCAGGACTGTGTTTTGCTGCAGATTTGTCATGGTTAATGAATGTTGCTGTAGCAGTCAATCATGTACTCTAAATACTGTCACACTTTTTTTTAAAGCCTCAGTCATGAGCCATGACAGAAAAATAAACAAATAAATATAAAGCTAAAAAACTCTTTCACTGAGCAACTACATTATGCAGAATCCCCCGGGAAGGCTAAAGGAGGCCAGAATAAATGATAATATAAGTGCTGTGGACGTAGGGAAGCAATGATGGTGTATGAACACTGAGGTTCTGGAGAAAAAAAATACACATACACACACGTGGCACATACTCCAGTGGAAAAATTGGCAATATTAGTAGCCTCAAGGTGCAATTTCCTGGAGCAGGGAGATTGACAAGTCAGTACTAAATGCTGTTAATTTAACTAACTTCAGATTAATGGTAGAGTCTGCTATGACTGAAGCCCTCAAACACAGTCTCATTATAGCCTTGCTGGGAAGGTCCTAAATATAGGCATTGACAGTTTAAAACAAATTCGTATACATTTGTGTATTTTTAGACATAGGTTAGGCGTCAGAGTTTGTGTCACAGTTTTCAGGTTGATTAATTGACCCAGTAACTGCACCCTCTACCCACTCTCCCCTCCTCCTTGCACTCCAAATTATAGAGAAAATGGGGGAATTGTCCTTGCTAAGTCATTCAGTGAGCTTTTTATTGTAAGCCTGATGTTTGAATTGCATGCATGCGTCAACACTTGGGTGATAGACACATGATTTATAAAAATAAATTTTTCTAATACTATGAAATCCCCCCTATTAATTTTTATATCCATAACAGTTATTGCTGGTGTGAATTCCAGGTGGCATTTCAGATGGACAGCTTCTCTGGAGCTGTGCTTGGCTCCCCCTGAAATTTTTCCTGCTTTTCCCTGCACAACACATTTTGTTTCTAGACTTTCCCTTTTCTTCTAGGCTGTAGACTTGATACTATTTGAATTGTAGCAGTGAAGGGATTTTATATCTTAAAGATAAAGCATTTTGCCTTTTCACAGGCTAGCAATGGAGATGGATAGCCTTTTATAGCCAAATGAATTTTTCAAGATCATATTCTCAAACTGTGCATCTCAAACTGGGACACCTAAACTGGAGTAGAAATAATATGGTGATGGGGTTGGTGGGATGCAGACGTCATATCTCTGAGGCCACAGAATGATTATGTGCATCTTCCTTGGAGTGTCAACTTTTCCATTTTGATGAAAGCACATTATTTAGAAATTAAAATGAACACTTCTATTATGAGAAGAATGGAAAAATTGCCCCCAAATTGAAAAATTTTTTAAAGAGAAATTTTATAGAACTCTCTCCCTTTTATTTTTTTTTTTTTTCAGTCTAAGTCCCCAGGTGCCTCTGGGACCCACTTGCTTCTGTTGTTAGAGGTAATTCTGTGGACGAGCCGGAGAGACATGGCTTCCAGCCATTTCACCAAGCAAACCTTTTATTATTTTTTTCCTATGGATTTTTTATTAGTTTAATAAAACACTCTCTTTTGAAAGACTTTCTTTATTGACTCAAATCAGCTGACTTATAAAGTAATCATTTTCCTCCCTATCATTAATGACTTATATAACCGCCAATAGAAGCATCTGTTCAGTATGAGATAATCAACATAACAAACTGGGTTAATATATTTTAATCAAAAGCAAATAAATATGATAATTATGTTCAACTGTGTAGCTTAATCTTGAATGATAGTAGTTTTGATGTAGTTTTATCTTGTGTGATAGCGTAGGCCGTTTGATGCCTTGGAATTTTTCTGGCGCTCATTGCTATTTTTACCACCCAAGGATGAGACCCTTTCAACCCCCTTATTTTAAAGATGAAAGAAACAGACCCATGAAGGAAGGGGGATTATCCCAGGTTTTCTTAAAGTCCTTAAACAACTCAATGAACTTCCTCTAGACCAAATGGAATACAAATTAACCTATTATTTACATATTGCATTTTTCTAATTACTCTGGCACAAAATTGGTGAATTCATGTTGGTTGATGGGACATAGAGACTAGCAAGGCTGTGTCTATTTTATGATTGATTTTCCTGCCCATCCACTTTTCTTATTCTTGGATTCATTCCCCTTTCTCTTCCACCCTCTGGATATTTTCCCCTCGAGTCCAGAACTCCTGATCTATTTGCAAGGTTTGGCCTTTTCTCTCTTACTGCAGTTAGTCCCGTCTCCAACCAAGCAACTATCCCTCTGAACAGCCATAACCAGCACAATGGAGGGTCTGTGAGTGTGTGGTGAGCAGTCCGGCTGGGCAAGACCACTCAACGGCTCCTGGAATAGGCTCCTTGCTATTGTGGTGTTTAATGATCAACAGCATTTCTACCACCCAGTGTTTCTGAGAAGGTATTTGTTATAAGACCTGCCCAGCTAATTAACTAGGGAGTAGGGGTGGGGGGAGGGGCTGGAACTTGGTGTTCAAAGAATACAATTACGGTTACTGTTTAAATCCTGAGATAAAAAATGATCAGACTGACTGGATTTTTTCACATCAGAATCTAACCTGTGAATTGTCAGTGACTCATTATTCCTTAATTTCACCCTTGCCCTGCAATTGGTGAGTTTGGGCCTGGTTGCTAATTGTTTAAAGCTTAAAAATATGAGGGTAAAATGTAAACCCGTTTTAATTTTCAATTGAGGTGTCGAGGGAACAATTCATTTGACTGGCTTGAAAAAAATGAATAATTTGTTCATTACGAATCATATACCATTTTGCAATTTAACAGCAACTTTTCTGTTATTATTAGCATTTTCCTTTTTGATGAGAAGAATGAGGTACTATGGTAATTGTTTAATCTTCATGTTATAAAGATCCTTAAGACAACCCCTGGCTGTCTGTTTTGATGGTACCCTGGAGTCCTGTATTATTTTGTCTGTGAGGGGAACTCACTGTTCACCAAGGCAGTCTAGTTAGTCCACTTTCATTTTTTTTTTTTTTTTTAATAGAGGCATGTTTTATTTATTTATTTATTTGTTTGTTTGTTTATACAAGCACTGGGTACAGTCAGAAGCGCGGGAGGGTGAGAGAGTCCACTTTCATTTTAAAGTATTTTTTTAAATTTATTTATTTATGCATACAAGAACTGGGGTACAGGCCAGAGATGTGTGTGTGGGGGGTGAGAGGATTCACCAGAGACAGAGTGGGGAGCAGAACAGGTGGACTGACTGAAATGCACTGCTGAGGAGAGCAGCTGGCAAGACAGGAGAGGTCTGCTGTGCCATGTGGGTCAGCTCCCTGGCCCAGGATTGAACTCATGCTGCAGAGGCTGTGGATAGGTTCACAGTGCTGTGCTTAACCCCCTGTGCCATCAGGGAGGCCCTCTTTTTAAATTTGGATTTAAAAGAGTTTGCTTATCCTGAGCTGAAATCTGCTTTCCTATTATTTCTAAAGTGGAGGCAGGGTGGTAAATGGCTTTGAGTCTTATAGATTAAATGCCGTGATTATGAATGAATCACCCAAACCAGTTCCATTGCCATCTTGAGTGGCAGAATAATAGTACCACTCTCATAAG